AAGCCGCTCCGGCGAGAGAGTCACCCGCCGACGTGCACCAGTGCCACCAGTACTAGCAACCACAGTACCACCAGTAGCAGAACCTCCAGCTCCAGCAGTCCCAGCACCTCCAGCTCTAAGACGGCTAGCTCCACCACCAGGGCTGCCCCACTGGACAGCCCACTCGCGCAGCCGCTCCGGCGAGAGAGCCTCCTGCCGACTCGTAGCAGGACCACCAGCACCTCCTGTACCCAGAGGACACTCAACACCCCCAGAACCAGCACCCCCAGTGGTACCACCTCCTGCAGCACCAGAGTCCACAGCGACAGGCTGCAGCGGCAGTGAAGACGGTCGAGGCAGAAACCCAGGAGGGACAGCCAAGCGTGCAGAGCGGCGAGGGGTCACTGTGGCAGCAGGAGTCGGGTCACCCCCCTCAGCTGGGCCAGAGGTGTCTGAGGAGACCTCCAAAGGCTCAACCAAGGGGGGTGGGTCTACCTGAGACACACCTGAGGGAGCGGGACCGTGAGGAGGGAGGGGGGCTATCGGGGGGGGGTCGTCCACCAGGGTGAGAGGCGGGAGGGGTACCGGGGAACTGCGGTGGGGGTGAAGACGGTAGAAGCAGACGGACTCGTCAAAGGTCACTGCCTGGGAGGACAGCACACGACGAGAGCCCGGGTGGTAAAACTGCCAGGGCGGTGCGTCGGTGAGAAAGCCAAGGAACACGCACCGAAGAGTGCGTGGAGAGAGCTTGCCCGCAGGCAAGTCGCGGACAAGAGAGAGGGAACCCCAGACCCGAAACGCCGACGCATCACCAACCTCGCCCGTCCACCGCAAAGTGGGGGAGGTCTCCGGGTGGGAGACACGGGGCCAGAGGTTGAGCTGCTCAGCGGCGTATCGGACCGCAAACGGCCACAGAAAATGGGGAGCAACCGCATGGATCATGGAGGTGCGAGCAACCTCCATGACAAGACCAATGCGGCGCTCGGCAATCCCATTCTGCTGCGGAAGCGTGTACGTCTGGCGGATGCCCTCAGCACCACAGAATTCCTCAAGGAGGTGGGAGCAAAACTCACCACCTCGGTCAGAGTGCAGCCGCAGGACAGGGAGGTCCTCACGGAACCGAGCGCGAAGCTGGAGACGAACAGCGCGGATCCAGCGGATCAAGACACCGCGGACATCCGCCTTGCTCTGCAAGCGGAAGACCGTGGTGTAGCGCGTGTAGTCGTCAACTACCAGCAAAAAGTAGCGCTCGCCACCCTGTCCAGTGACGCGGGCGGGGCCCCACATGTCCATGTGCAGGGTCTGCAAAGGAGCAGTGGTAGGAGGAAACGAGGAGGAGTGAGGAGCGGCGCGCTGCCGCCCCGCGACGCAGGGAAGGCAGGGCGGTGCAAGCGACCTCGGGAGCGGGGGCAGGGACCTGGGGAGACCAGACACAAGGAGACGGGAGTGCATGCCACGCAGGCGTGGCAAGGAGGGGTGGCCAAGACGGTGGTGCCAGAGGAGAGTCTGGTGCGTGAGGAGACGAAACGAACAAGACGAGGCAACCTCAACCGACGCAGCTACCTGACCTGACTCAGCTACCAGTGCAGACTTAGTGGACAGTGTGTATAGGCCAGACCCAGGCCTCCGAGTGAACGTGGCGAGGTGCTCACTAGTGCGCGAGTCGGTACAGATCGCCACTAGCTCGCCTCCAGGCTGGGTGGCAGTGACCCTCTGGTCCTGGAGGACAGAGGTAGCCACCAGGTTCTTAGCGAACGAGGGGAGGTGGAGACCTGTGAGGAGGCCGGAAGGGGCCGCCGGACAAGGGAGAACAGTGGCGCCACGCACGACTACCGGGCCCCCAGAGGGGTCGGCCAGTGTGACAGGGACAGAGACTGTGAGCGGTGTGACTGTGGTGCTGTCGCGGAAGAAGCAACGAGACGCGCCTGAGTCGAGAGTAAAAGTGTGCAAGGCCTCCTCAGGCTCTGCACCTGTGCTAGCCGAGTCAAAATCACCAAGACTAGCAGCCTCTACGCCACCAGGTGCCTGTGCACCCCCAGCACTAGAACCCCAAGCTCCGCCACCAGGGCTGCCCCACCGGACAGCCCACTCACGAAGCTGCTGCGGGGAGAGAGTCTCCGGCTGACGCTGCTGCCGCTGCTGTCCACCCCCAGAACCTCCGCGTCTACCAGCGGCACTACCAGCAAGAGTAGACTCACAGGGACCTCCAGTAGTAGCACACCAGGCTCCGCCACCAGGGCTGCCCCACCGGACAGCCCTCTTGCGAAGCTGCTGCGACGAGAGCGGCTCCCGCCGACGAGTACGAGGACCGCCAGCACCAGCACCTCCAGCCCTAGCACGGCTAGCTCCGCCACCGGGGCTGCCCCACCAGATAGCCCACTCGCGAAGCTGCTGCGGCGAGAGAGACTCCTGCACACTCGGTTGCTGTTGACGTAGGAGAGTGGTAGTGGCCATGGCAGGCAGTGGCAGCTAGTAGCAGCAGCTGCGTAGCAGTAGTAGCACACGTGTGGCAGCAGCACCTAGGGCAGCAGCAGCAGGCGGTAGCACCTAGGGCAGTAGCAGGCAGTAGCTCCTAGGGCAGCAGCACCTAGGGTTTTTTTTTTTTTTTTTTTTTTTTTTTTGGGTTTAGCAGGGCGCGCTTGGCGCTGGGCAGCGGGGCGCGCTGGCGCGCTGGGCAGCGGGGCGCGCTGGCGCGCTGGGCAGCGGGGCGCGCTGGCGCGTCGGGCAGCGGGGGCGCGTTGGCGCGCTGGGCAGCGGGGCGCGCTGGCGCGCTGGGCAGCGGGGCGCGCTGGCGCGTTGGGCAGCGGGGCGCGCTGGCGCGCTGGGCAGCGGGGCGCGCTGACGCGTCGGGCAGCGGGGCGCGCTGGCGCGCTGGGCAGCGGGGGCGCGCTGGCGCGCTGGGCAGCGGGGCGCGCTGGGCAGCGGGGCGCGCTGACGCGCTGGGCAGCGGGGCGCGCTGGCGCATCGGGCAGCGGGGCGCGCTGGCGCGTTGGGCAGCGGGGCAGCTGGCGCGCTCGGTAGCGGGGCGCGCTGGCGTGCTGGGCAGCAGGGCGCGCTGGCGCTGTGGGCAGCAGGGTGCGCGTGCAGAGCGCGCGGGCAGGCAGGGCGGCGCAGCTGCAAACAGAGCGCGCGCGGGCACGGCGGCGCTCAGGCAGGGCAGCAGGGCGCTCAGTAGCAGGGCAGCTGGGCGCGCGCAGGCAGTGCAGTAAGGCGCGCGCTGGCGCTAGGCAGCAGGGCAGGAAAAAAAAGTTTCAAGTCCGGGCAGGGCGGAACGTTCGGTGGGCCCTAAGGAACGTACCTACTCTAATACCATGTCAGAATCAGGAAACATGAATGAATGCATTAGGGTTTGGGAGAATACAAGTAGGCAACCCTAGAAGTGCTGTACCCAATATGGGCTACCCCATTATAGCCTACAGACATGCAATTGTATTTTGACAGTGGCGATGGCGGGGCTGGCGGCGCAGGAGGATTCGGAGGCGCAGGATGCGAGGAGCGGTGCCAAAGGTCATCATGGCTGCCACGACAAACACCAGGCTTTGGGGGCCTTCTAAAGAGAAACGCCGAGGCAGGCAGTCCCGCCATGGCGTGAGCTATGGGACGGGCCTTGGAAGGAAACGAACGCTTTCAGGCGTGGAATGAAGATGATTATGAGGACCCCCTCAAGACCCCTGTCAAGAAGGCGACCCGGGTTCCTCATCGAGCACCTGTGGAGCGTCCACGTGGTACCCGCAGAGGAACCAGGTGTCAAAGCGAGGGGGATAGGAAGGGAATCTTGCTGCATTCCCTTCCTATTGGACCGCCCTTGTTCAAACCCTGCCTTGTTGGCATGAATTCAAAGAACATGGACTGCCCCCCCCTCCCCCGCCGCACACCTCACTCCTCCACCCGCTGGCATCATCATGCGCCGCCTGGTGAGGCGATTGGCCAGAATTTGGCCACACTGGATGCGCTGGCGCATGGGCATTTTCTCGAACTTTCGCCACTGAACCAATTGTGTTCTCTTCGCTAATGAAACCGCAATCACGAGCTCTACATTTTTATGTCTTTAAAACAAATTTTCGTAAGTGTCATTTATTTCCCCCATGGGGTTATACAAAATGCCACATTATAAGCGCACCCACCATTTTTCCAGGTTTTTTTACACCCCCACCTCGGGGTATATCCGGGGTATGACGGTACATTTCCACATGGACCAGATTCGTACGGTATTCAAGTACAGGTTCATTTTTGCTACAGGCCTTGGGGTCATACTACATCCAAGGGATTACGGATACGCTTTCACCTGAAATTAAGAAAACAAGAAGAACAAGCAAAGAACCGTTCGTACACCAACCCTCTGGTATCAATCTCTTGTGAAAGGGTAAACTGAAGAGGGGGGTGCTGTCATAATGTGTGTGGGAGTGGGGTCACAGTGGTGGTGGTGGTAAGTGCCTTGATCAACCATTCCCGGTCCAAGCCCAAGAAAAGGGATGGGAGAGGGACCACCGACTGAGAGAGGGACAGGGAAAGGGGTGGTTACAAGCATGGGCGTGGGAGTGAAATGGGTAGAGTGCTTCGTGGCAGCAGCCATGCTGCAATGCTGCTGGAATTGAGGGGGGTCAGTGGGGGGAACATGCTCCGTTTGGTATTGCTGCTGCTGTTGCACTTGCGGTTGCGGTGGTGGCAAAAATGTATGGGGTTGCTGTTGTGGTGGCTGCTCGGGCACAAATGAAGGAGTTGGCTGAAGAAATAAAAGCTGTTGTGGCACCTGCTGCTGCAACTGCTGCTGGTGTTGCTGCTGCAACTGCTGCTGGTGTTGCTGCTGCAACTGCTGCTGGTGTTGCTGCTGCAACTGCTGCTGCAACTGCTGCTGCGTCTCAACAGCACTCGGTGATTCTTTGCCTGCACTGTAAGCCTGAATGCTCCCCACAGGGAACACACCAGGTACAGGAACAGGCCTGTATGCTGTCACGGCCACAGGAGCACCACCCAATGTTGCTGCACTGGAACTACCATTTATAAAGGCACTCATGCTTCCTTCACCCAACACCTGGTTCACTCCCTGCTGCCACTGCTGCTGCTGCTGCTGCTGCTGCTGCTGCTGCTGCTGCTGCTGCTGCTGCTGCTGCTGAGGGGGGGTGAGTTGAGTCCCAAGACTGCCCCCCCATGGCAGAAACCCCTCCCTCCCTTGGCCCCTCTCTGACAGCCGTGGCCCCAACCCAGGGCTACCCAGCAGCGCACTGCCTGCATGTGATCGAGGCGCCAGCACACTGAACGCGCCCTGTGGCGGGCCTGGCCTTAAAGCCCCTCCCGCCTCAGCTGCTGTTGGTACCGCTGCTGTGGCTACTGTTGCTGCTGCTGCTGTTACTGCTGCTCCTGTGGCTGTGGCTGGAACAGCAGGTGGAGCGGGAAGAGTAGCAGCAGAGGGACCTGGCACGGACACGCCTGCTGCCGCTGAAACTCCGTGCTGCGACGATGCCGTTCCGGCTACTACTGCTGCTGCTGCTGGTACTAGCGCTCCTCCTGCTTCAGTCCCTCCCGTTGTTCCTCCGGAATGCCTTATTGAACCCTGGCTGGAAACGGGTTCCGTCCCACCGGCAGCTCCTGCTGCTGCTCCTGATCCTGCCCCAGCTACCAGGCCCCCTGCTGCTGAAGAATTGGTATCAGGCGGCGGGCGGAAAGAGGCGGGTGGAACGGCATACGGGGTTGGGAGAGTTGGGAAGAAGGGAGAAGGGGGGAACCAAGGGGGTGGAAGAGGGGTAGCGGTGGGGAGAGATGGGGCTGCAGTGACAGAGGCAGGTGGAGCAGAGAGAGAGGTTGATGGGGCGGAAGGGAGGGAGGAAGCGGGAGGGAGAGAGAGAGTGGGTTGGGGTTGAAAGGTGGTAGCGGACAGACCTAAAGGGAGCAACCCACCACTACCAGCACTGCCACCAACAGCAGCACCAATAGCCCCACCAGCAGCAGCAGCAGTACCGGCAGCAGCAGCACTAGCAGCAGCAGAGGAAGGCACAAGTGCAGGACCCACAGAGCCAGAGGTTCCCGGAGGTGCATTAGTGGCCACTGGTCGGATTGCAGAGGATGTGAGCCACGCGGGAGCTCCTGCTCCACCTGCTGCTGCTGCCGCTGCTGCTGCTGCTGCAGCGGCCGCTGCTGTGTGAATGTGCACGAACTGAGGGGGAATGTCCATAGGCCTGGGGACGGAGAGGGGCACCGGCACTGGCACTGGCACTACTGATGGCACTGGCACTTGCATGGGCACTGGTGCTTGGGCTTGTCCTGGTGTAGTTGCAAAAGGAGCAGTAGCAGGGGGCGGATTTGGCGCAGCAGCAGCCGCCGCTGCTGCTAAGGCCCAGTGGGAAGAGAGGAAGGCAGAGTGGGTGGAGGGAGGAGCAAGAGGAGGAAGCGAGGGTCCAGAGGCGAGAGAGGAATTCTGAGAATTCTCAAAGGCAGCGGGTGCGGAAGATGAGGTGAATGGAGGTGGCGGCAGGGAGGAAGGAGGCACGGCAGGTGTTGCCCCGGACAGGGGCACGGAGGCAGTGGGAGGGAGAGGAAAAGGAACGGGTGTTGGAGAGGCAGTGAGGTTGAAGGGATGAGCGGCAGGACCAGCGGCAGCAGCAGGAGCAGTACCAGCAGCAGCAGTAGCACCCGAAGCAGCACCTACACCTGCAACAGTAGCAGCAGGTTTGCTGGTGGTAGATGCCGCAGCAGCAGCTGCTGCGGCGACAGCAACAGCAGCAGCAGCAGCGACGCTGGTGGAGGTGACAGAGGGGACCGAGTAAGTGTTGTTTGAGTAAGTGTTGTTTGAGTAAGTGCTATTCGTGTAAGCGTGAGAGGGAGTGGCAGTGACAGGTGGGTAGAACGGATATGGTGCCATGAATACAGCTGGAGCCGAAGAGGCAAGGGCAGGGGAAGGGGAAGGTGCAGCGGAGGGTTGCTGGGAGGGATTTGTGTGGGATGCCTGAGGGATGGTAGGTGGTGGTGCGGACGGAACTAGCGTTGTGAGAGGTGATGGGTATGGCATGCCTCCTGTAAGAGGATGAAACTGCTGCTGCTGCTGCCATTGCTGTTGTTGCTGCTGCTGCTGCAACTGTTGTTGTTGCTGCTGTTGCTGTTGCTGCTGCAACTGTTGTTGCTGCTGTGCATCTTGCCAAGATGGTTGTGGTTGGATGAACTGGGGAAGAGGCTGCTGCTGCTGCTGCTTCTCCTGAGGCGAAGAATGTTCCTGCTGTTGTTGATGCATCTGTTGCTGTGCTTGCTGCTGTGCCTGCACAAAAAAGTTTGTCTGTTGCTGCTGCTGCTGCAGCATTTGTTGCTGTTGCTGCATTTGTTGCTGTTGCTGCTGCTGCTGCTGCTGCTGCTGCTGCTGCTGCTGCTGCTGCTGCTGCTGCTGCTGCTGCTGCTGCTGCTGCTGCTGCTGCTGCTGCTGCTGCTGCTGCTGCTGCTGCTGCTGCTGCTGCTGCTGCTGCTGCTGCTGCTGCTGCTGCTGCTGCTGCTGCTGCTGCTGCTGCTGCTGCTGCTGCTGCTGCTGCTGCTGCTGCTGCTGCTGCTGCTGCTGCTGCTGCTGCTGCTGCTGCTGCTGCTGCTGCTGCTGCTGCTGCTGCTGCTGCTGCTGCTGCTGCTGCTGCTGCTGCTGCTGCTGCTGCTGCTGCTGCTGCTGCTGCTGCTGCTGCTGCTGCTGCTGCTGCTGCTGCTGCTGCTGCTGCTGCTGCTGCTGCTGCTGCTGCTGCTGCTGTTGCGGCTGGTGCTGCTGCTGCTGCTGCTGGTGGTGGAAGAAGTACGACGGCAGCTGTGTTTGCTGGAAGCTTTGTGGTTGAAACTGTTGCAATGGTTGCTGTTGCTGCTGAAATGACTGCTGCTGCAGAAACTGTTGCTGTTGTTGCTGCTGCTGCTGCTGCTGCTCCTGCTTCTGCTGCTGATGTGGCTGCTGTTGCTGTTGCTGGTATTGCTGTTGCTGCTGCTGATGAAACTGTTCGTGCATCAGTTGTGCTTTGTCATCTGAAGCAACAACAGCAGCACTACTACCACTGACGCCAGTACAAGCATAAGCAGCAGCAGCAGCAGCAGCACCACCACCACCACCACCAACGGCACGCCTCTGTTTATGGCTAGTGGGGGAGTGAACCTCAGGGGAAGAAACAGGCGACAGAGGACCTACACCCTGGTGCCCCTTTGCTCCATCCACCACCTGTCCCTCCAACAACAATAGCTGAGGAGCAGCAGCAGCACCACCACCACTGCCACTACCGCCACCCACCCCGCCCAAGCTCCCCACCGCAGGGTCTGGAGGGTTGAAGAACCCAGCCTCCCCAGCAGCGGCAGCAGCAGTGGAGGGTTGGGTGGGGGAGGAGGCAGAGGTGGGGAAGGCAGGGGGTGCGGCGGGAGGAGGAGCATAGGCGAAGAGCCCGTTGGGGGAGGAGGCGGAGGGGGGCAGGCCGGGCAGGGCCATCTGGAGGTTCGTTTCGAGCCTGCGAGGAGGGGGGGAAGGGGGAATGGGGCAGTGGGAGAGGGAGGGAGGAGAAGGAGGAGGTGGGGAAATGGAAATAGAGGGGGCATTGGAGGAAAAGAGGGAGTGAGAAAGATGCATGACATTGGATTTTAAGAAAGGCTGTGCCTGAGTTGGCCTACAGAGGTTCCGCTGGGAACTGCTCACCACCCACTATTCACCACCCACCACCCACTGCCCCCCGCCCTCTGACCCCTGCCCCACCCCTCCCTGCACACCCACCCCCGCTCCCCCCCCCTTGCCCCCCGCCCTCTGCCCTGTGTGCCCACCTGGAGGGGAAGTTGAGGAAGGCCTTGGAGCCTCTGAGTCGGAAGGCAGCGACGTCGTAGGCCTCTGCTGCTGCCTCGGCGCTGTCAAACGTGCCCAGCCATATGCGGCTGCGCTTGCCCGGCTCCCGGATCTCCGACACCCACTTGCCCCACTTGCGCAGCCGCACCCCCTTCAGCCGCTGCTGCTGCTGCTGCTGCTGCTGCTGCTGCTGTTCTTGTTGCTGCTGCTCTTGTTGTTGTTGCTGCTGCTGCTGCTGCTGCTGCTGCTGCTGCTGCTCTTGTTGTTGTTGCTGCCGCTGTTGCTGTTGCTGCTGCTGTTGCTGCTGCTGCTGCTGGTACTGTTGTTGCTCGTGCTGCTCTTGTTGCACGTGCTGCTGTTGTTGCTGCTGCCGCTGCTGCTCTTGCTGTTCCTGCTGCTGTTGTTCTTGCTGCTGCTGTTGCTGCTGTTCTTGCTGTTGTTGTTGCTGCTGCAGCCATTGCTGCTGCTGCTGCTGCTGCTGCTGCTGCTGCTGTTGTTGCTGGTGCTGCTGCTGCTGTTGTAGCTGCTGCTTCTGCCGTTCGCCTGCTTCCATCCAACTCGCTGCTGCACCCATGCTCTCACATCCTGTGCTTGCTTCTCTTCCTCCTCGGTCTGCTGCTTCCGTTACAACTGCTGCTGCCACTGCCACAGGGACGACTGGTGAGGCCAGTGCTGTCGCTGCTGCTGCTGCTGCTGCTGCTGCTCCTCCCGCACCTCCTCCTGTTGTGAGTGTTGTACCTTGTGTGCTCCCATAGAATTCGTATGCTCTCTGCTGATGCCGTTCATGTTCGCTCACAGCAACAGCAGGCGGAGACAGAGCAACACCAGCAGCAGCGGCGGAAATGGCAGATGCTGGTTCCGTCCCTGCTGTTCCTGCCACCAATGCCGGTGCTGCTGTTGCAGCTGGTGCTGCTGCTGCTGCTGCTGCCGCTGCTGCAGTTGCAGCTGTGAGAGCAACTGGGTGCAAGGGCCACATTGCCATGGGTATGGGAGTGGGCGTCAGCATGGGCATGGGCGTCAGCATGGGCATGGGCGCTGGTGTGGGCACTGGCACAGACATTGGCACAGGCATTGGCATGGCCATGGCCATGGGAACAGGAACCTGCTGTGGAGATGCATACTGTGATGTTGATGTTGATGTTGCTGCTGCTGGTGTTGCTGCGGCTGCTGGTGCTGGCGCTGCTGCTGCTGGTGTTGCTGATGCTGGCGGTGCTGCCGCTGCCGCTGTCGCTGCTGCTGCTGCTGGTGCCAGTGCCGGTGCTACAGGTGCTGCTGCTGCTGCAGCAGCGACTCCCAGGTCTGCCATGGGGGAGCAACCACCTCCCATCTGTGCCCTTGCTACCCACGCCTCTTTGACCTCTGCCCTGCCCACCCCCACCATCTCTGCGGCACCAGCAGGTGCCACTTGCGTGTGAGTGCGTGCACCCTCTGTACCTCCAGCAGCCGCTGCTGGTGCTTGTGCTGCTAGGGTTGCATCAGCAGGCATGGGAGCAGCCTCCTCGGTTGCCTGTTCCCTCCGCGCCTCTGCTTGCACCTCTGCTTGCACTTTTACTTGTTGCTCACTGCAACCTTCAGCACCATCACCAGCGGCAGCAGCACAAGAAGCTTCCCCTCCTCTCCCCGCCTCGCACCCACCACCGCTCCCCACAACGTCCCCTGCACTCTCCTCCTCCCTCCCTCCTTTCTCACCCTGCACACCATCTTTCCCCATGGAAACCCCTCCACTCTCCCGTGACTTTTGAGTCCACTGTAAAGTCGCGTCACCCTGCACATCATCTTTCCCCATGGCAAACCCTTCATTCTCCCGTGACATGCCAGGTGCGGCACCGGAGGTAGCAATAACTGCCTCTCTCGCCCCAACCACCGGCACTTCCCTCTCCTCCTCAATACGCTTCTCCACAACGCATGCCTCTGCTGCTCTTGCCGTTCCTTCTTCTGCTCCCCCTGCTGCTCCCTTTGTTGCTCCCTCTGTTGTCCCTCCTTCATGTGCCCTTGCTCCAGCAACACCCGCTTCCGCCCTCATGTCTCGTGGTATTGCCTCTGCCCCCATCACCCCGCCATCCTTACTTCGATCTTCTCTCGCAGGCATCGAGTTTTGAGGCACCTCAACCTCAACAGTCGCCGCTATGTCGTCCCATGGAGTCGATTCCGCGCTCGTCACCCCGCCATCCTTACTTCGATCTTCATCCGCAGGCATCGAGTTTTGAGGCGCCTCAACAGTCGTCTCTACGTCTTGTGGAGTTGCCTCTGCGCCCATCATCCCGCCATCCTCACCTTGACCTTCGCTCACAGGAAAGCAGGCAGTGGCACACTCAAGCGTCTGCACAGCACCAGCAGCACCAGCGGTAGCGGCCGCAGCGGCAGCAGCCGTAACAGTGGCAGCAGCGCCTTTGATGTCGCATTCTGCACTTAGTCCCTCTCTCTCACACCCCTCCTCTTTCTCTCCTCCCTCGCCGCTCCCTTCCCTCCCCCCTCCTTCCTCCGCCCCTGCCATAGTCCCCTCTGCTTCAGCTCCTCCCCCCCTCTTCTCCCCTGCATCTCTCTCCACACCTCTATCTCTCTCCACACCTCTATCTCTCTCCACACCTTCATCTCTCTCCACACCTTCATCTCTCTCCACACCTTCATCTCTCTCCACACCTCCATCTCTCTCCACACCTCCATCTCTCTCCAGACCTCCATCTCTCTCCTCCACGCCTCCACCGCCCACAGCCCTTGAATCATCCACGTCCATCCCATCCACCACATCCTTCCCCACCTCCCCCTCCAGTCCCCGCTCTCCCTCCCCTGCGCCTTGCTCGCCCCCCCTTGCCCCCTGCTCTCCATCCCCCCTCCCGCTCTCCTCCCCCTCCCCCTCCTCTCCCCCCTTCGCCTTCCAGCCAACCAGCTCCGTCCCTTCTCTCCCCGCCGCACCTGCCCCACCCACCACCAGTCCCGCCCGCTCCTCCCGCTCCTCCCGCTCCCCCGCAACCCCACTCCGCGCCCCCTCCTCCGCGGCCGCTGTCTCTCTCAGTCGCTTGCCCTCTCGCCCGTCGCCCTGCATCCCATGGTGAGCCTCCGCCTGCGTCTCTCCCCACAGGCCTCCTGAAAACGCCCTCGCTCTCTTGCCCGCTGCACCCCTCTCCCTCTCCCTTTCCCTCTCCCTTCCCGTTTCCCTCCCCCGTCTTCCTCCCCCTTCTCTCTCGTTCGCACCCTCCGCCTGTGCTGCGCAAGTCGCCGCCACTACTGCAGCCACTTCCGCACCTGTGCTGGGTACCGAGGCTTCCGCACTCGCACTCGCCACCGCCGCCGCTGCCGCCGCCACAGACGCAGTAGCTGCTGGGGTTACCGTTATCTCTTCCGCGACACCATCTCGACCACCACCACAAGCACCACCACCAGCAGCACGACCAGCAGCGGCAGGAGCGGCAGGAGCGGCAGGAGCTACGGCAGGAACAGTCTGACAGTCAGGACGTGAGCCAGCCGCCGCCTCTTCTGCCTCCCCATCGTTACCCCCCCCTCCCCTCTCTGCATCCCGCCCGTCCCCTTGCCCTCGCGCCGTCGGCTCATACCCATGACTGTCTCTCGAGACACCTCCCCCGCCAGGGTACTCACTCCCCCACTCCCCCTCGTCCTCCGCACTACCTTCCGCCAACCTGCTTCCGCCACAGCCCCGCACAAGCGCCCCTCCCCCTTCCTCCCTTCCAACCGCTTCTTCTTCCCTCCCGTCGCATAAAGCCCCTTCATCCTCCTTACCATCTCCCTCTATATCATGCTCCTCCTCCTGCCCTTCATCCTTCATCCCATCCCCCCTCCCAACACACAGCGCTAAACCGACGACCCCAAAACCCCCGCGCTCCGCTGCGCCTAGCGCTTCCCTCCTGTCTTTAAAACCGCTGCTCTCTGCGAATACGTCAGCACTCCCCGCCCGCGACCCGTCGCCGCTCCGCGCAACCGCCACTCCCCCGCCTTCGTCCGCAGCCTCCCGCGCGCCTCCCCCCATCGTCCGCGCGCAGGGGGGCCGTTGGGCCGACCGCGCGCCTCCGCGCGTTGAAAGACGCCGCTCTAAAAAATGCGCGCAGGCGAATTCGTCGTGACGGGCCTGGGGCTACGACTTCGCCCAACGTCGCCGTCGCGTGTCGCCTGTCGCCTGTCGTCTGTCGCCTGTCGCCTGTTGCCTGTCGCCTGTCGCCTGTCGCCTGTCGCCTGTCGCCTGTCGTCGCAAACAACACTAGTCCCTCCCCGCAGGCTAGCGTCGCAATCGAGCAGTTGCCGAACCGCACGGCGGTCGGAGGGAAAGTCAGCCCGAAACCAGACAAAAATCAGTCCCAGGTTCGACTGAACCAAAAATCAGGTTGCAAGCGCGCGGGTGCACTGCATGGCGCGTAAGAGGCGGCGGTAGCGGCGGCGGCGGTGACAGCGGCGGCGTTGCTTATTGCCAGATGAGGACGACAAAAGAGTTACCGGCACGTTCAGTATTTGCGATGGCGATGGCGATGGCGACGGCGACTGCTATAGCTTCTACAGAGCGACGCTCCAGGTGCTACTACTACTACTACGGCCGCATGTCGCGCTGCGAGCCTCGCGATGGAAGCGCACAACGACAGGGGGAGACGGTGGCAGTGGTTGTCAGGAAGCGAGAACGGGGGGGCGGCGGCATGGGAGGGTGGATGGGAGCAGGAGGGGAGACGGAGAACTGGGAAAAGGGGCAGCGGGTGCGAGGGCGTTGAGGGTGTGGTGTGGGGTGTTACATATGTCGATGTAGCGTAAAAAGCGGGAGGCGGAAACGATGTGTGAAGCGATGCCGGAAAGATAGCTCCGCGCCTTGCGATCTCGCTCGAACCGCGAGTCCGAAGCACAAGGACAGCGCACTCTGCGTTCCCTGCTAGAACAGAAGAATAGTTGCGTTGCGACGCCCATGCAAGAAAATATCGAACAGCGATCGTCGCGCGGCTGTCGCTCTCACCCGTGCGAGGAAGAGCGGGAATGAAACGCGGCTAGGTATTTAGCAGGCATGCGCGCAGGAGCAGTGCTTGAAAACGACCCAAAGTGTACTAATCGGGAAGAGCGGTGCTAAGGTCGTGAAACATGAACAATCAGTGACGAATAACGTGGAAATAGAATCGGTTGAATGCGGTGTAGGGGAGTAAATCCAGCACAAGCACAACAGCTGCTATGCGCGCCGACGAACATCAACGGATTTGCGCGAGGTCAAAAAAGCTCTCGGAAGGGTGGCTCCTCCTGGTCTAGTTGCTCCCTGCCTTGCTTGCCCCCTCCCATCCCATCGCATCGACCCCTTGCACGCACGCACGCCCAACTCAAATCCCCGCACCTCTTGTTGCATTGCCAGAGCCTGATGTTTGCCCACCAGCTGACCACAACCGAAACCCAACCCCCCGCTGAGTCACCCCCGCAACCCCCCGGCCCCCTTCTTCTTCCCCTTGCCAAGCCAACCCCTCCCCGCTGATGATATTGATGGGTTCCGCCTGTCACACCGCGCCCGTCCATCCTTCCATTCGTCGCCTTGCCCCGGGGGGTGCTTGATAGCGCGGAAGCGGTTGCTGATGGGCAGAGTGCCTTCCAGAACAGAATTTGGAGAACTGGCCCGTGACGGACACTAACACATTTGTTGTCAGTTGCGGTGTAGCCATGGTCCTCTGTGGAATCCGAACTCTTACTTTCTCTGGGAATTTGCCGTTCGCTACAAGCCAAAAAATAGAATCTAAAATTTGGAGAAAAGCAGACTGCCCGTCTGAGCAAGAGCGCCTATCCGACGGCTCAGATCAGCAGATTTTACTCCTCCACAAGGAACCCCCTCAAGGGGCTCTGTTTCACATCCGCTGTGCTTTTCCCCCTTGACGTTTTGGCCGCCAGACCTCCGAGGGGAGGGGAGAGAGGGGGGAGAGGCCGGCCTAGCTGCAAAAACCTATCGGGTGCGCGCGTGTGTGTCCCATCCCATGTGAAGCGATGGCGGGTCAGCAAACTGCACGCAAGAGCCCCAGCCAACAGCGACGCTTCATGTTTAGCCAGCCTGGCAGAATTTGTGGCTTTCATTGGATAAAGCAACCAGATTGAGTGGCTGCATGTCGGTGAGTGACAATTGCGCTTCTTCGACCGACTTCTCTCATGCAGGGTTGATGTGGTGTGGATTGGGGTTACACCAAATATCGACGGCGTTCCTTCAAAGCCCACTTTTGTTGGATGCATCTGCTATCGATTTTAACACATGGCGGATGAGCTGACAAATGTAGCTGACATGGCTGTATCTAGGCATCAAGCGAAAACTGACAAAATGGGTGTCGGTCGCACGGACACCTCAGAAATGCATTTGAAGCACCACATAACCACAATAACTACAGTACATGTACAACTGGTAATTGGTCTCTCTATCACGTACACACGATGCAAATATTGAGAATCGGCACACAAATGCATAAACACTAGAAATAGACATTGGTCTTCCCTTTCCAGTTTGAATAACTTCTCCATGAATTCATTGTTAGAATAAAAAGGGATCTTGGACAGTATAGGTCTGCTAGAGTTGGTAACGGAAGTGTTTTGTATTAGTGGGAACCTTGATCATAATGAATGTAAATGACAAGATTGCTGTTATAACTGAAGGATCGTAGTGGACAGGATAAGTCTGTCAAGTTTGAGAGAAGACAATGAAGTCTCTGTAATGACCTTGTTAATAAAGTTGAAAGAGAACAAGATAATTATAAGATAGGAGTACAAAGGTATAAATAGCAATCCTAGCTATTCATGTACTCTGAGGGGTACATTCCCTTATTAACTGAATTACATTGCTACAGTAACCACGACTATTGCTCTTCTTGACAGTTACCATGTTGCATCGCGAAACTACCAAGTGCGGTTACTGGACGGTCAAGAGTCATGACCGTTGACTGTCTTCGACTGTTGACCTTCGGGTGACTCTCGATCTTCCGCATGCTCTATATGAGCTATTGCGGTACTGGTACAGACGCGTTGCTTCGTTATGAAGTGACGCGTGAGTGGAGATCCTTCGGGAATGTTACTATAACCTTTCGGTTATTCCAACACTCCCCTTCATTCCTGAAGGTGAGCCACGTGGGATTTCTTCGAGATCCCGCAGAGGTCGGTGCAGTGCTGAAACTTCTGACGTGGCAGCTTCTTGGTCAAGAAATCTGCTGCCATGTCACCAGTTGGGTGACCTTGCCCTTGTCGATCTCGTCCTTGACGAAGAAGTAACGGAGTGCGATGTGTTTCGTGCGGTTCACGAAGCCGGGCTTGTTCGCGATCTTGATCGCGCTCTGATTGTCGCAGAGTAACGTGAAGTGCCCGTTCATCGTCACTTTCGCTTCCTGCAGGAGCTCCATCATGTACAGTCCTTCGCGAACAGCTGCACTGGCAGCGATGAACTCGGCTTCAGGTGACGAAAGTGCGATGAGTTCCTGTTTCTGGGAGTTCCAAGAGATGAGTCCAGCAGGTTGGAGTTGGAAAATGAATCCTGTGCGGGAGTGTCTGTTATCAATGTCTCCCGCATGGTCCGCGTCAACGTAGCCGTGAAGCTGCAGGGTAGCGGTGAGGTTAGCTTCGTAGGTGAGTCCGACGTCAGGAGTAGAGACGAAGTATTGAAGTGCTCGGCGTAGATCAAGTAGATTCTCCCCTTCAGGTCGCTTCAGGTACTGTGCGAGCTGGCTTGCGACGTAGGAGAGATCGGGCCGGCACGTGACGGCGGCGAACAAGAGGCACCCCAGCTGCTGCTGATAGAGCCGATGATCTTCGATGGAGAGCGGTGTGGTATCTGGTTTGTAATTAGGAGGAGGAGTGCGGAAGGGGGTGGTGAGGTTGATCGGTGCGACGACGAACTTCTTCGCGAGTGTTTCCACGTATTTGGCGGCGGAGAGGTGGCTGGAGGTGGCGGACTGGGTGATGTTGAGGCCCAGAAATTGCGTGACGTTGTGGTTGATGGTCACTTCAAGCTTCTCCTTGATATCTGCCTCGAACCGATCCAGCAGCTCCGTGTCGTCGCCGGTGTAGAGTATGTCGTCGGCGTAGGCGACAAGGAGAATGAACTTGCCACGCGACTCCTTACGGTACATTTTGAGATCATGTGGCAGCTGAGTGAATCCGAGCTCCGTCAGGACGGTGTGCAGGTACTGGTGCCACAGTCGAGGCGCCTGCTTGATCCCATTGAAGGATTTTTGAAGGAAGCAGACGGCGCCGTCGGTTTTCTCGAAGGCATGCGGCTGCTCGACGAAGATGATTGCGTCGACGGGAGCGTACAGGAATGCACTTCCGACGTCGATTTGATGAAGCGAGCGCTGTTTAACGGCTGCGATGCAGATGAGGATGCAGACCGAGGTTTGTCTTCCGACGGGCGCGTAGGTGAGGTCGAAGTCCACCATGTGAGTTTGCTCGAAGCCGCGTACCACCCATCTCGCTTTGTACTTGTCGATGGAGCCATCCGCAAGTGTTTTATTTCGAAAAACCGATTTGCCGCTGAGAAATTTTCTCCCCTTCGCTGATGATCGTGGGACCAGCTTCCACGTTCCGCGGCTCTTTAGTGCCGCGACTTCTGTTGCCATGGCTGCCTTCCATTTCTCACTTTCGGGGCCAGACAGGGCCTGGCGAACAGTGGTAGGTTCCTTGGGGGAGGCGTGGCGAACAACAACTGCGAGCCCGAGGATACGGAGACCGGTTTCGTTGGTCTTTTCGTAGTGGAGGCGATCGTAGTCGTGGAAGATGGTTACTTCGACGACGTCGTCGTCGCTGTCGTTGTCGAGACGGAGGGTGTATTGCGAGGTGTTTGGTGGTGGAAACTCGGTATCTGGAGAACGTCGCGCTTCACTGTTGTAGTTGTGGGCTTCGCGAAGTGTATCGGCGGGATCGAATTGATGAACGGGAATGTTGGAGTCTGGAGTGGGCTTGTAAGGGGGATGTTGGGATATGGATCTGTTGGTGCGTTGTCTGCTACGTCAACATCCTCTGCCATGTCTGCTTCATCGTGTGATGTGGCGA